GATTCTGTGATTCTGTGATTCTGTAAAGCTTGATTGTAAGGCAGATTTTAAAAGTTGCCCACCCCATCTAACTTGGGTTAAAAGTGAGGATGGGAGGGAGCTTGTAATTAGTTCACCAAGATGGTATACAAAGAAAAAATATTATTTTCCTGATTTTATAGTATGCTTTGATTCTTTCAATCCTAGACTCAGTGAAAGACATGTTAATTGACTGGTTTTAAATTCAGAGTCTTTATATTCTTGCATAACCCTGTTAATCTGGATTTGACTGGCTGTGGGGACTGTTAAAAAGTTAACTTTTCTGGTTAATTCTGTACAGAGTGGGTTGAGTTTATACCACCCTAGGTGGTATTTTGTTTTTAAGAGGCTAATGGAAATGCTGTATATTACCATTCTGTGAAAATATGTAAGTGAATACATAAGTGATCCTGAGGGAGATAATTTCTGCCCTAAAAATGACTGAGTTTAAAAAAAAATAATCTGTGAACCTAGACTTGAGAGAAGAAAATAGTGAAATACTGATTTTGGTAAAGTCCAGCAAAGACTACAGGTGTTTGGGCCACAATTTCATCTAAAGCTTTGTTATCTGAGGTGATCTTTGCTTTCTGTTTCTGATATACTTTAGCACAGCAGAGCAAATTTGAGAGCTAACTTAGCATAATTCTTTTTTGTTGGTAAATTTTGGTTGCTATAAGTATGCAAGGAATGATACAGTTACTAGTTAGGCATATTTTTTGGGATTTCTTTTATCTAAAGAATGAAAAACTAGGAAAGTGTCAAATGAGAGATTTTAAAATAGAGGGCACTATCTTCCCTCTGCAGAATATCATATCCACAGGTATGATATCTGCAGAAAATGTAAATTTTCTTATATTGTGTTTATGGTCTGAGTGTTGAAAAGGAAAGCTTGCTCATCTAAAACTAACTTAGAAGAACCTTTGGTTGTGAAATGATTGAAAAAGAAACAGGACAATTGGAAACTGTCAGAAGATTTTTATTGAATAATAACAATCACATAAATATTAATATATAAAATACTGAAGAATATATATATTAATAATAATGAAATCACATCACTCGTTATTGTCCCCATTGTGTCTTGGATTTGGTTCAGTTGCAATGTTTTTAGAGTGGAATAAGCACTGCCCAGATTATTTGCCCGAAGAGTTTGCTTCATGTGCAAGATATGTGATCCTTGGTTTCAAACAGAAATATAAATCAGATATGCTGAGCATTTCTTATTTGAGGCTACTTTATGACTCCTTTGTATTTCTGTAGGTGTTCGAAGCCCAACCGAACCTGCGTGCAGAGTGGTGTTTGAGAATGAGCAGGATAACAGCAGAGACGCGCAGAGGAAGCGCAGCCTGGTGATTTCAGAGCCACAGCACGTGACTCTCATAGTCTTTGGAATAGGCATGGTGAACCGGACCCACCTGGAGGCAGACATCGGTGGCCTGACCATGGAATCCGAACTGAAGAGAATCCATGGCAGTTTCACTCTGAAAGAGAAAATGAAAGGTGGGATAAGCTAAAATGTGCTCTCTAACTAAATTCAGTGGCATCTTTACAAGTCTGTGTGTGCGCCTACCTATGCCAGTGTATATCTATGTGCATGTTTAATACATTTTGTTTCTAAACAAACATAGATGTATGCTATGTCTGTGTGTGGATAGTACAATAACATTCAACAAGTTCTTTTAAAACTTGTTACTAGGATGTTAAAGGATTTTTAAAGGATGCAAGATTTGCAGAAAATGCCATGAAGATTTTCAGAAGCTAGTCATTCTTTTAATTTTCAAAAGCTTTCTTGTCACAGTTTAAATTTGGTATTACTTAATGTGACTATTCAAACTAATTTTTCAGTTATTTTCTTGCTACGACATTTTTGCAAGCAGTAGGTATACCTAGAAGTATTTTACTGAATGAAGTGCTGTTAAGTATCTTTTTTCTTAAAGACGTACTACATCAAAAGATGACTGAGACGTGCGCCACTGCTCACATAGGAGGTGTCAACATCGTCCTGCTGGAGGGAATTACCCCAAATATCCAGTAAGTATGAAGCCTGGCAATTTAAAATTGATCGTGTGCTATCAGTTGTGTGACAGTAAAGGTATGTAGCTTAATACAGAGAAAGCACTGATGGTATGTTAAAATGGTATTCATAGAGTTTGGTGGCAACCATACAGCTGTTGGAGAACTGGACTGGAGTTTGACTCATAAAGCAAATCTTGTGTGCCCTTTCACAGGGGGATTTTCTATGAAAGACATACGGTGAACATATCAGTAGGTTTCAGTCTAAGGCGCCCAATCGCGCAAGTCTTGGACATAGTTACATAAATATGAATACTCCTGTTCCTTTGTATTTCTAGTGAAAGAATCGTGATTGTAGGATCACAGTGTAAATGGGTGAGTGACCTGACTGAAAAATAGTAGGTGACAGGCCCTCTTGTAAAAAAAAAAAGAAAAAAAAAAAAGAAAAAAAAAAGAAAAATACATGTAATTAGAGCTTTCTGCACTAATTTTATTCCACATGGTGTACACACAGAAACTTTATTGTATCATGTATTTTTTCTATTACGCTTCTAATTGCTTTTTGAAGCTTATAGATTCCACTAAGCCATACAAGATTTTTAGGGAGTATTGAATTGACTGATGCTGATTATTCCCATTAAAGATCTATGTTTTTCTTTAATAGGTATCTTTTTGAACTCCTATGTTACATGATTCTTTGTGTTATTTTTACAGTTCGAATATCCATTCTCCACCCTTTATATAATTGACACAAGCAGCGGGTAGAGGGTGGGTGGGAGAATCACTTTTTATGCATGAGCATCTTGAATGATTTGCTCAGCATCCACACTGTTGGGTTTTTTTGGCCAGGTTCACAAACTCAAGAGCATGCTTTTTTTTTTTCTTTGTTTCTAGCTGAACTTCTTTCTGAGTTGCAAAACAACAGCTGAATTACTACTCTGTAATGTAGATCACTCTCACACAGTTTGAGTGTTAGCTGGGTAACCCTCAGTATGTGATTTGGGTTTAGGATATTAATGTTGTAGAAAAGGGACTAATTAATGTGACTTGAGTCTCTCTCTTTTTCTAATTCTTGTTTAGTTTGGAAGATGCTTTACAGAAATTAAAACATATGGAAGTTTATTAATATTCCCAAGTAAATTGCTCTCAGTAAAAGACAACCATGCCGGGTTTCTGAAGGCAGCTGAGGTTCTTCATGTCTTTTTGACATCATAATCGTACTGAGCTTCCATAATAGGGCGGGTACAAAAGAAAAGGGGGGAAATAATTAAAATCTTTAACAACAGCTACAAAGGCAAACAACAAACCCTAACAAAACCAGAAACTTTGACTTGTTAAATTTAAAGTAAGTGTCATATTGTGGGTTACAAGTAATTAACTGACTAATTTTGCATGAATGTTTATTCTTTATTTGCTTTGTTTTTGTTTTTCTTGCTTTCTCTTCAATCTTCATCTGTAGACTGGAGGATTTTCCTACATCTCCTACAAGCACAGCCAAACAAGAGTTTCTGTATGTCATATTATTATGTTTAATAGTCTTGCAATTAACTCTGTGTTGTATAGCTAATGGCTGCATTCCTACTGTGTGTGACTGTGTAGGCAGTTGTTGCTCGAATACTTTTCAGTGTAATGTCTAAAATTACTTGGATTAGCTTCTAATGTAGCCTGCTAAATACCTGTCCAAAAAAGCCCTTGGAAATGTAAACTATCTAGCTTTAAATGTAGATATTACACTCTACAGTCACTACTGTAATGCTGGAATGGTTTCACTGTCTTATGCTCCTTGGATCTGCTTCTATGCTTATTTTAGTGAGGTGAAATAATGCTGATAAATGTGAAGGAGCAGACAGGTTAGATTTGCTTTTAACTTGGTAAGGAACTGCTGTGCTTGGAGGGATAGCACCTATTGTGATTTCAGCAAGAAGAGGACCATTCCTTTTGTCTATCTTTACCTCTTTGCTGGGTTTAATTGCTGGGCACGCTGACCAGGTTATGCTAACTCAAAATGTTTTCCTTAAAACTATGCCTATGCATCTGCTGCTGATGAAGGTGACCCTTTTCATGTCTTCCAGATCAGTATATTCGGCTGTAGGTATTTTGTCTCACAAAAGATGGAAAGTTTTCTTTCTAGTTGCTTTTTTACTTCCTGACGCTAAAACCCAGGCGGTCTCATTGGAGTAGGGGTCTACTGGTACGCTGGGCAACCTAGAAGCCCAGTTACACAATGACCCTGCAGTGGTCCGTGAAGAAAAGTTATGTAGCCAAAAATTGTAAGGCTTTTTTTTTTTTTTTTTTCCTACAGACTGGTGCGTATGTTTTAGAAAGACTTAATACAGCTGCTGTTGTGTGTATTCAGCATTGTGATAATGCAGGATTAATTTTGACATGTCATTACAGATGGTAGCTCTGGAAAGAGAGGTGATAGACTATGAAACTGCAAGTGATGTACAGAAAACGGATGAGCAGTTATTCAGATTTTTCTTCCTTTTTGCCTGGGAGCAACATTAAACCAGCAAAAGAAAGTACTTTTTTGCATAGTACATCACTGTACAGTTGAATTCATTGCCATATTATGTGGTCTACAAAAGTACAAATGATTAGACAAATCCACATAGGATAGGTCTGGTGAGGAGTCATGAATAGAATACAGCCTCTGGCTCAAAAAGTAAACCCTTGATGACTGAAATTAAGGGAAGGATCACATTATTTATACCCCAGGTATCTGCTACTGCCCAAATTTTCATCTGACTCAGTGTAGTATGTTCCTGTGTTTGTTATAGGCCTCCTGCTAGTGTTATTTCACCCCCTTTCTAACATTCTGAAAAAGTCTATTAGATTGAGTGGTCACCTTGTGGCCAGCTCAGTAGTGGGACAAAGACTTTGTTCACAAGTTTGTCTGGAGAGTGATTAATTATTTATGGAATTGATGCGAGAACATAGAATTACTTCTGAATTTGTTACTGGTATATAACTTAAATCTTGATTAATAATTTAAATAATATTCAACCAGATCTGTTATAGGCATATCACTGTAGTTAAGCAAGCTGCAGATACATAATGTGCAGCACTCATTCCAAGTAAACGTATAGCCACACAGGTATTCTGCATTTCATTGTCATGGAAGTAGGCTTTTTGTAGACCAAACACGTGTCAATGAAATTAATTCATTGCATGAAATACAGAAATACCTTTAGCAGAGAAGCACAGTTAATTTTGCTGAATTCCAGACTGAAGAGATGCCTTCCCATCTGATTCTCCTGTGCCAGCTATTTGGTGTAATTTTTTTTAATTAAGGAAGTGCTTTAGATGGTATTAATTCACATGTTCAGAAATAATTGTAAATTCACTACAGACTTTAATTCCAACTACATTTACTTTTAACTCTTAAACAAAGATAAGATTAGACTTTCTGTCTGGTACAGGTCAGGATGAGATCTTGTAGCTTCCCTGAAGTTGGAAGTTGTTCTTGTGATGCTTGAACAGCTAATGTAGTAGTGTTTTGTGTTGTAGATAAGGAGAAAATGTATTCTTTAATGACTTCTCAATAGTTCAGTCTGAATGGTAGCAGGAAGAGAAGATCTGAGTTGGAAATAAGCAAACAGCAACAGTGAAATAATAGGGTTTTTTTCTTTTAAAGAGGTGGATTAAAAGAAGTCTGCCCTTTTATTAAGTAACTTTTATTTTTATAATGTTTTTTCTGAAAATACTTGTGAATTAAAATTTGTTTCCTCCTACATATTTGTGTAAATTCTTCCGATATTTTGAAATGTTCTATTCTTGACAGTCTGCCATAAAATGTTAATCCGTAACTGCTTTAGGTTGCTTGTAATTCTTGCGTAGCTGTGAAAACCTGAAAATGTTTCTAGAGGTTCAGTAAATTAATCTGCAGTTGATAGGCCTGTGGTTGCATTACACTGTTGTGTATTTCTTCATTATAAGCAGGAGGATGAGATGCCGTCTCTTTGTATTTCCACACCTGAGATGCTTTGGGCTAGGTGATATTTTAACATCAGAATAATGAGCCCTCTGTTAGGGCTTCACAGAAGAAACATTGCTTAAGGAGTAGAATTTGTAGAATATTGTAGCTTTCACCATTAAACTAAACTGTCTACAGAGCAATTTAAATGATGATACAAAAAGTAGTTTAGTTATGCTCCTTAAATTGTAGTATTTGAGAACATTTCATTGAGAGTTGCAATTTTATAGAGTCTTTATTTTTCAGACATTTTAGCTAATGTACTGCATCTTCACAACTATTACGTCTTTCTCTTTGAGGCTGTAATATTCTGTGCTGGCTACATAATATTCTTCCATTGGGCAGCCCTCAATAACTGACCTTAGATGAGAAACACTATTGTATTACCCCATGTATTTTTTTTGACAGAAGCTTAGTGAATTCTGATACAATGAAATTTCATTCCGACATAAAAAACTGTCAGCTTTTTGCAGTTATATTTTTATCTTGGCTAACAATTGTGAACCGTATCTTCCTTAATATTAAAATAACGTTTAGACTTCATATTTTGGAATAGTATGTGTCGATTAAACATTGCTATTATTTCACAAACCTATTTATCACATGCTATGTATTTATTGTCAACTGAGGGTTTCCCCCATTGACCTTTTTGGATGCTAAAATCAGATTTTACTAAGTTGTCTTATGAAAAGGATGATTCAAGACTATTCCTGAAAAGGAGTTGAAATGGAAGGCTCTTATTTGTTTCTGTGTGTGAAAATTTGTCTGTGTATGTGCAGTCTAGTGTGTATAAACTTGAATGATCTTATGTTATGCAAGAATAACAGTTTAACAGATATTTTTGCAATGCATGACTTGTAGATCTCTTACATGTAGTGTAGTTGTTTGTGGCATGTAGTGCATCTATGTGCGTAAAGTGAAAGAAAAAGGATTGTGTATGTAGTTTATAAACAAAATAATTTATAGGAATACTTTAAAATTCAGCTAACACTTAAAAACCCAATTTAACTGTAACTGTTGCGAAAGACGTGCAAATAAACCCCATTCCCTTTCTGTCAGAACCGTCGTGAAATGCAGTATTGCCAAATCCCAGGCCCTGTATAGTGCCCAGCGAGGGCTGAAAACGAACAACGCTGCTGTGGTCAAAGTCGGAGCCATCAGCATCAACATCCCTCAGCACCCTGCCACGCTGCACAGCATGATGGTGCGCAGCTCTCACCAGCTCTCCAAGCAGATTTCAGATCTCATCAGGCAACCATCAACTGCGTAAGTGCTGCTTACTGCCAAATGCCACTGGTTGCCATCTGTTTATGAGCTTGTGCTACTTTGAACGTACGTGGGAGAGTCAGGCTAGTCGTATATCATGACAACAAGTCTTTTCTGGTCTTTGTCTTTGTAAATAGGCCCCAGCCTACCAAAGAAGATGTTGCGACTCCTTTGCCCTCTGAAAAGACTCCAACAAGTATTAATCAAACGCCTGTTGAAACAAATGAATTTCCACAGCTGCCAGAGGGCTTAGAAAAGAAGCCTATAGTTCTTAAATTCAGTGCCATGATAGATGGTATAGCTATTGGAGCAGCACTCTTGCCCTCTCTAAAGGCGGAATATAAGATGGGAAGAATGAGGAGTCATGGAATGACAGGTAACAGTTGTCTGAAACTTAGAAAATGTTATGGCTTCTCGTTTGGCCTGGCTAGAAGAATCCAAGAGGAGTCAGTATTTCTGCTGAGTTATAGCTGCAGCTTTGAATCTGTTGCTATTGGCTTATTTTTTTGAATGTGGGCTTCAATAATACAGGGGCATATAAAGAATCCACACTGTTTCTGTTACACATGATTGTCAGAGGCAGAATACAAGAGCAGGTGAAGATGAAGTATGCATTCATATAGGCTTCTTCCTGGGAGGACATTCCTCTGGATGCTAAAATCAGTTTATGATCCTTGATTTAATTAAATTCTGATTCGTAAGGCTACTTGAGAATACTCTTATAGGATCTTGGTACAGATGAGGTGGTTTGTATGTCCCCTTTCTCCATCTAATAACAGCAAAGTCTTCATTTTATTTAAAAGTAAAAGAAAAACCCAGAATCATGTGGGTGGATATCTATAATTCTAGAGGTCTGCACACTTCAGTAACATTTTAAAGATTTTTTTTTTTTAATTTCAAAAGAGTTCTTAAATTTAAGAATAAATAAAAGATTCTTTTGCCAGTTCATATCTTTTCTTTCCCCATCTTCCTTTTACAGGTGCCCAAACTAGGTTTAATTTTGAGCTTCCAAGTCACAGATTGCGCTTCACTTCAAAAGTTTCTGCCACTGATATGTCAACCATTCCTCCTTCAGCAAGTCTCAACCTTCCTCCTGTCACCATGTCAGGCAAATATATCATGGAAGAACACGATACTTACTCAGACCAAATATGGAGCATAGACGAACTACCTGCTAAGCAAGGCTATTATCTACAGGGGAACTACTTACGTTGTGTGGCTGAAGTAGGTGTTGGAGACAGTAGTCATCATTGTTAACTTGTTATTTCCATTCTGTTACATTTCTGTATGTGCTTCTTCACATTATTTAATTATCTGCCTACTCCAGAACTCTCAGGTTTACAGGTTGATCCAAATTATAGCATCTCTAATTGCATGACACTGAAATAGAACTTTCTTAGTCCTTTGTTTGATGAGCAGCCAACATATTAAGCAGTCAAGACCACTAGATTGGAGGATTTTGAATATGTTCTTTTGTGCAAATCATCAAGGAAGATAAGTTTAGAACCTTTTTTCTGGGAATGGCAATATTTCTCATCAGTGAAGCAGACAAAAGTACATTATGCTGATGATTCAAAGAAAGTGTAATTTCAAACCGAAATCTTATGCTGAGATATCAGATAGCACCCATAAAATGTATGTAGATGTTGTGTTTGTTAATATAATTTAATCCTCAAGATTACTTTATTCACAGTGGCTGTCATGCTTATGTCTTCATCTCTTCACTGTATAGTACTTCATATTATTTTACTTCAGGAGGTTGGTATGGGAGGCAAGCATTGATTCACTTGCAGTCTCTCTTACTAATTTTCTCCAGAGCCAGACTGTTTTGGATCATCTGTGGTTACCGACTGGAGGCAGCCAAACAATAAAGGGACAATAGTGAAGTCAGCAGGCTAGAATAAAACAGGGGGTCAGAGTTGTGAAGTTACATAGGATTTTTTTTTTTTCATTTCATGGTTGTCATAGCCTATTATTTAGTGTTATTAATCAACTCAAGCAAAATTTATACTTGCATTATTACCAAAACAATTATTATTGAATAGTTAATTGTACGTAAACTGATTTGTGAAGAGTATTTTCTGGAAAGAAATTTCTGTATTTTAGATGTTTGAATATACTCTATGTGTACCACACAAAGTCACAAAAAGGCACTTTTCCCTGGCCATCAAAGTGTTCACAAGGCAGCTCACGCTGAAACTAATGGTTGGACTCAATGATCATAAAGGTCTTTTCCAAACTAAATGATTCTATAATGTTGTATATTTTGCAAAAAGAAATACTGAAAAATTTAAGAACAATATATTGGAACTGTTCTATATATTCATTATTAGACAGCTGCATAGGTGCTTAGTAAATTATCTACAATTTTCTGTTGAGACAGAATGTTCTACTCACAAGTTCTATTTGTATATCAGTTACTTTTCACAGAGAGAAAAGGGATGTTGCTTAAAAGAAACTTAACTGGTGGGGAATAGAGGAGCTTTTTTACTAATTGTATTTCTTTAGTCGGAAAAAATAGTCTAGCATGTTTGTAATTGAGACTTCTGATGTTTGCATCTTGATGGAAAAAGTTTATTAGGTGCAGCTCTTTGTTCAATTTATATGAGTTATTTCCTGGCTGAAGAAAGACCTCAGGATCTTTGAATTTGTTCAGTGTGTAAAACAAAAGGGAAGGGCTGGTTAGCAAAGGCAAAAGCCAAGTCCAAGTAGTTTTAGGAAATATCTGTGGTTTAATCTTATTAAAAAATTCTTAATGGCAAATTTAATCAATCTTAGGCAGACTCCAGTTCCTTAGCAAAATTCTTCAGGATTAGATTGGACATATAATAAGTTTACCATTGAAGATACTGGTAACCTTGTTCATCTACAGTAACTATAATAATGCACTTCGAGAGGTTGACAGCTCATTTCTGTTTTGTTCTGATAATGATTTATTATCTGGATTTAAGTAGCATTTAACATACTTCCATGAACCTTAATCAAGTCTTGTGTTTTGTTGTTTAAGCTAAACTTAAGCAGGAGAATAAACTTTTTAGTAGTGTATGTCCTTCAGTTTTGAGGGGTATTCACAGCAGAAAAATTGCAGGACAAAACTATTTAATGTTCTTTTTTCATGCCAATAACAATATGATTGGACTTGAAAAGATATGCCTAAAAACATACTGTTTTGAAAACTTAGGTACAGTAACTCTTTTAAAGGTGTTTTTATTTTTTTAAATTCTTTATTTCTGCAGGTTGGTTCCTTTGAACATAATCTCACAACTGATCTTCTAAATCATTTAGTATTTGTGCAAAAAGTGTTCATGAAGGAAGTAAATGAAGTCATACAGAAGGTTTCAGGTAAGCAGAAACTTAAAACCAGCTTTGTGAGATCCTTAAACCTTGTTGGATGGGAAAACCATGTAGTTCTCTAGATCATCTGTTTATTTCACAGACACCATCATTTTGCATCTAGCACTCCAGGCAGCAGCAAGAAACAAGCAGCAGAGCTGGAGTTTGAAGTAATAACAGAGGCTCTGAAAATTTTTGTAGTTCTTTCAGAGACAAGATGATTATTGGGAAGCAGGATAGTTCGTCATTCTGGATGCTAGCCTCTCTGTCTGTGCCATGACCTTGGCTGGGTTACCTTCTGTGTTCACTTTGTTCACCTGTAAAAATAACATCAGTATATTCTATTTAAGAAAAAACGCTGTGTCCAGAGAAAATAGTGTCAATATTGGTATTACTTAGTGTCTCCTGATTCCTCATGTCTCTCTGATTCTTTCAAGATAATATGTATTAAAAAGGCGTTTGGCTATTCATTAGACTGTTCTGTATATCTTCTTGTATACTGCAGAAATGACCGTTTTGTTTCTGTCATTTAGGCTGGCTTCTGTTCTCAAAAAATTGTCAGAAGAAAAATAACGTCATTAAAAACCCAAGTAGCGAACAGTTGCAAGATCACTCAAGGCTATCCCTCTTTCAGTATGCAATAGAAATCGCATACTGAATTGTGCATTCAGCTGTTGGAGTAGACGATCCACAGTTACAAAACATTTATTTTATTACATAAAAATCCATCTGGCTGAATCGTTTGTGCAGCATGTAAAAATAATTCCATTCACCTCCTAGTTCTTACTGTTAGAGACTTCATCTGTGTTCAAGAACTGAAAGCAAACAGAAAAGCTGATAACTTGTGTCAAGCAGTGATATTTCACTTCAGCAAAAAAGTTCTATTACTCCACAGACTGGAAAAAATAGTACAAAATTATACTATTTTTTCTGACATGTAACTTCTCTGTGGGGAAATGTAAGGACTGGAAGCTTTATGACAAATTAAGTTATCATTTTGTAGTTTAAAAAACAATACAGGAATATAAATTACATGAGGGATGAGAAGATGAACAGAAAAGGGAAAGGAGGTTGTGTACGTGCATCTGCACACTCCTTTTATATACCTCTGTTTGTGTATACATACATTAATGCCTGCAAACATACATAAATGTACATAGAAGAAATGTGCAGATCCAGACCACATGTCCTTAAGGGAGTTATAAGACGCAGTGGAGAAATGGAAAATGTCAGTGTCCTGGAAGAGTAGGAAGAAACATTTTAAGCAACCGCATGTTGTTCCAGGCAACATATATTAACATTAGGTAATAAGAGAACACTTAGGGAAAGCATAAATCTTCAACAGCTGTTATTATTCTATAAGAACAATTCTTATAGAAGAGCATACAGTGGTAAAACAGAAAACCTATATTAGATTTCTTCTACAACATTTCTTAGTCTCAAGAGTTCGCTCTCTCCTCTGTTTTTATGTGAGAGATTTATTACCATTGCTTGTTCTTTGTTTTTCCAGACTATAAATTTGTATTGCAAATAGATGCCCGATGTATTTAATTTTTATTGTCAGCTAATTAGGAGATACATTGGTCCAGAAGACAAAGAATATCTTTTTTGAAACTAGGTGTTGCTTCTTGGAGGCTTTGAGTCCTCCTGTGGAATGTTTCCCAGGAGGAAGGAACATGACTCACTGCCTCAATTCTTAGTAGAGGGCTACTAACTGTAGGTAACAACCTGAATCTGCACCCAAGTTTTCTGTCTTCAACCTATATTTGTTTTTATATGTCTTTAACTAGTCACTGTTTAAAATGAGACTTAATTCACTGTCACCTCTCATTCATTCACTATGTATTTGTTTTAAGATGTTTTCTTTGTTAAAACTCTGAATGTGTATATTTAATGTGTACAGGAGGGGAGCAGCCAATACCTCTTTGGAATGAACATGATGGCACAACTGATGGAGATAAACCAAAAATTCTGCTTTACTCATTGAGCCTACAGTTTAAGGTAATCTTGTGGTGACGAAACAGTGATCCTAGATGCTATTAATGGCTTTTTTTTGAGGGGGGGAGAAGGGGGTTACCTCAAAGCTTATTGAAGCAGGAATACTCTGCAGGAAGAAAAAGACCCAACCTTAAGTTTTGTTCCTGTAATCTTTTAAAATAGCTTAGTGACACTGCATTGTGAAAAACAATTATGCCCTCTTTTTTTGCTGCACAGTGAAAAGGAGTTTTTTTGAGGGTTGAGGTTTTTTCCCTTGTTTTTATGTCTCTGAACAAAATAACTTTGTACCTTCGTTATTCATTAGGGAATTCAAGTGACAGCTACAACTCCTTCAATGCGAGCTGTGAGATTTGAAACTGGATTGATAGAACTTGAACTCTCAAACAGACTGCAAACCAAAGCAATGCCGGGAAGTAGCAGCTACCTCAAACTGTTTGGGAAATGCCAAGTGGATTTAAATCTGGCACTAGGACAGATTGTTAAACATCAGGTTAGTGCTCAAGATCTTTGCATGTAGTGTTCTGACTTAGAGAGTGATTCAAAATACATAACCAAGCCAACAGGTTGTCTTACACAGTTGTTTTTTATCAGATCTGGCTGTGAAGTGCAGGGGAGCTAGGAAGTATGCTTTTTAAAAATATTTTCCTGAGTTTTTTTGTTTTCTTTTAGCTTGTTTTATTTTACTTTTTTTATATAAAAGTTGTAAGCAATTTGCAGTGCACAGTTGTGGGCATTTATTTTCTGAATATGAAGGCCAGTGTACATACATTAAAGATGGAAGGAGTAAATTATGGGCGCTTTTTTTTTTTCCTCTCATACTATTAATACCTTAGAACTTATTAGCTCTTTGCAACAGTAGTGGCCTTGCTACTGACTCAAATTCAAAATTTTAGTTGCTATTGCTATTATTTTTAGGGTATATTAATGAAATAATAGATCAGACAAGATCCAAACTCGGCTAGACCTACATTTTGACCTACTTTGTCTTAGTTTGACAATTGTATCTCTTGGTTTCTTAAGCCACCGTTACTTGGAATCACTAATTCTGTGATATGAAAATATTTTGTGATACTTAGAAACAAACAAATACAAAGCTTAATCCTATAAATGTACAGTCACAAGAGAGGATCTGAATATATATGTGTGTGTGTGTGTATATATATATATATATATGTAGTTATTTTAGTTAATATTTTATGATAAATAAGGAAAATAACACCATGAACAGAATTTAATGTAAGGAGATTGAATATCCTCAAAGAAGCTTTGGTTAGAAATGAAAAAGGGGAAAGGAGACATCTTTACTTCTTGTTGTAATTCTACATTTTGTCAAATGCAGTAATTTCATTTTTTCCCCTGTTCTTAAACTCCTCCCTACCACAAACCCCTCCCCCTTTCTATTTTTTTGAACATTTTAAGGTTTATGAAGAAGCTGGCTCAGACTTTCATCAGGTTGCCTATTTTAAGACAAGAATTGGATTAAGAAACGCTCTCCGAGAAGAAATCAGTGGCTCATCAGATCGAGAAGCTGTGCTCATTACTTTGAACAGACCAATTGTTTTTGCTCAGCCTGTGGCCTTTGATAGAGGTATTGAAGAGAAAATTGCTACAAATTTGTTTTCATTCTGAGCAAGCTATATATTTTTTTTCAAAGAGGCTTGGTTATTCAAGATTTAGTATATTTCATGTCAAATCTAAAGGTTATGTAAAACAAACTACCTGAGAAACTTAGATCTACTGCATGCCTACAGGTTAATAATTCCTGATGTCAAAAATTCTATTTGCTGAGGTGATCAGCTTTCAAGTGGTTTGGAAGAAGTTGTTTTTGTAAGTCTTTATAAAGGAATAATGCTGAGAACATCATCACTTTCTGTATTCTAATGTGTTAGTTTTCATGCTAAATTATCATCTTTGTCCATCTTCTCCTTTGCAGCATGAGCCTCCTCTCTACATCCTAAATATGTCTGTGTGTCCATTGTTGTACATGCACTGCCTTAAAGTAATGGGAAAACTGTAAAAATGGAAAAAAATAGTTAATGTCCTTTTTTTTTTCTGTATATGCTGATTTCAATTAAACATTTCCGGTTTCTTCATAAAGCTGTGCTATTTTGGCTGAACTACAAGGCTGCATATGACAACTGGAATGAACAGAGAATGGCTTTACATAAAGATATTCATATGGCCACAAAAGAAGTAGTTGATATGCTGCCTGGAATCCAACAAACGTCTGCACAGGCTTTTGGGACTCTCTTTCTTCAGCTGACTGTCAATGACTTGGGAATTTGCCTGCCCATCACAAACACACCTCAGGTAACCAAAATGTCTGAAGCAACGTGACTATTAGTACTCTGTTGAAATATCCAGTTGTATGTGGTACCTGGTTTTTATGTCCATAGATGTAATTTTTCATCACACCAACACAAAAGTCACAGGATGCTGATAATTGCAGTAGTGATATTGCTTGTAATAGAAATGGTCTCACTTATTAGGACTAGGTTATTCAGGTTTCAGTTGGTGTGCATGTTTTGGGGAAATGTAGTAGTTTCTTGTTTACACCATGTATTAGCTCAGCACTTTGGAAAGTCCTTGGAAGTGTTTCAGATGGAACATGTTTTCTTGAAAGCTTCCATCACAAATTCCAGTTAATCCTTTATTTTTCATTGATAGAAAAACTCTGAAAATTGTTGGCTTTAATGTGATGTTCTGACTCCGTTTAATCAAAACAAAGAATGAGAGTATGAATAGCTATTTGAGAGATATATATATATTTGTTTCAAACAGTTACTTTTATTTAGGAACTCAGACTGGGTTCAAGAGAGAGATTTAAATGCAGCGGAGCATTATTAAGATAGATAATGTTAGATGGCTTTGAAAGAAAACCTTGGAATCAGAGACTCTTCCCATGTTGAACTGGGAGTATTCTTAGTGGGGAATAATTCCAGAAGAGGGGTGAATCATTTTAATGGTGTAGAAAGAAATACTCACAATACATTAAAATGTAAAGGACAAATGAGGCCAATAACCTAGAAATCGTAACATAACATTTTGATTGTTAATCTTGTATCTGGCAACTGTGGACAAAGCAGGTGGCATTTTATGCCCTTACGTGTTACATATGATAGTAAATTATGGAAAATACATTCTGGCTTCTGAAGTCTTAAACTGTTTATAGAAAAGCATGATTATACTACTTAAGCTGGATCACAAGAGGTCTAGCTTTATAACAGACAGTATGTGGGTTTTTTTGCAGGTAAACAAAACAACAGACCTTCATGTACAAAGGGCTGGAAAACAGTCAGGCAGTCAGTCTATGTATTTAAGACTCTACATAATTGTAGATATCAAAATAAGCACAAAAAATCACATAAAAATTAAAGATACTTCTCATCATTGTTCAAACAACTCATGTGCAACTCTTCTTGAAGAAAATCTGTCCTGGGCTTGTGTTCTCTGGTCATGGGGCCATACGGTTCACAATGCTTGATGATCTAGTCCTTGATAAAACATGGATTTTCTTTCCTTTTCCAGATGAGCTTGACTCCTGGTGTAAAATGTATTTACAATGTCGTTGTAGCATTTACTAGAAAACAGCAATGCAAGACATAGTGTAGAGAGATGTGATGCCTTTGAAACTTTCTGCAGAGAAGGAAAAATGCAAGAAGAAACAAGAAGGGGATTGGTTTTCTAATAG